TTGTCGTCTCTGTCTTTTCAGGAACTGGCCTTGATGACCGATAAGGACAAGGCAAGGATTCAGAAGGWGCAAAAGAAAGCAAAGAAAGAGGCAGAGAAGAGGCAAAAGAAGGAGCTGCAAGAGAAGAAGAAGCAGGAGCAGAYAGACAAACTAGACAGAGAGAAGGAYGAGAAGCGGCAAAGAAAATGAAGAAAATATTTACATTTAGGGCATTTAGCAGATGCTTTTGTCCAAAGCAATTTACAAMAAGTACATTTGTCACAAGAGAGAAACCATTCWTAAAAAAATAAAGACATTTGAAATTWAATCAATCATCTCTTGTTTCTTCCTCAATACACCCTGGTGTTCATTTTGTAAGTCATGGTTCCATATAGAGTCAAATATATGATGTGTATATGATGTGATTGAAAGCTAGTAATGTCCAATGGGTGCAGGTCGAGGAGGGCATGCAGTGTCCTCGAGCTCTCAGTCAGGCTCCACCCCTCGCTCCTACTAATGTGGTCACTTCTGATTTTAAAAAACAAGATGGTTCCGGACAGAATAGACGAGAGGCTACAAAGCAGCAGCTCACAAAACCGAGCAAGCTCCGTTTCATTGTTGCACTGCTGCATCATCAGATTTGTTCAATCTCTTCAAGTTCAAGTTAAAAGTGCAAAAAGCACAAGGACAGTGTAGAAAATAAGAAATGAAAAGACAACTAAAAAAAGATTGTTAAGTAACCGATGCGTGAATTTCATTTCAAAGCAAGAAAACAGGTAAATCGCTCAACCTGACAAAAATCTGGTGGAGAGGAAACAGCTGCCTGGAGCTCCGATCACACGTGAACCTCTTATCTCGGCTCAGATGCAGCGAGCGGCTGTGAACGACGCTCGTAACAAACAGAGTAATGGCTCAAAGGATGCAAAGAGCTTTACATCACTGTCATCGCTGTGCGGCTGTATGAGCACGCTAACCTGAAGAAATGATAAAATGATAATAGATGTCTCTGAAAATGACAATGGACAAGAAGACAAGTTGAACAAAGTTGAGATGCATTCTTGTCTTCTCTGTCTTTAAACAATTCTCTAATGTCCACTTTAAGGGAAATTGTGTTTGTTCCAATCATCCTCAGGCCTCTTTTCATCATTTTAAAGTTCATACAAGATTCCAACAGCCTGAGTTTGTCATTATTATCTGAAGTGACAAGTTTATTTAGCACAATTCCCTCCTTTGTTACGATCCCTCGACTGCAGTTTAGCAAGGAAACGGCGCCTGGATGAACATAAAGAGGAAAGTTTTACTTAAAACTTTGGCAGATAACCCACTCAGACTGCTGAAACCTCATATTAGCTGCGACTGAACTTTGAAAAACATTTCCCCGCATCTGGGTCAGAACGGAACGAATCTCTCCTGGGCCGGTGGAAAAGAGACCATTAGCTCCTAAACTGGACATGTGGTGATTTGAAAAAAAATGTGGCCGTGTCCTTTAAAAGAGATACAGGATGTTTTTTCAGTTTTTCTTTCCTCTAGTGTGTCATACAGATCTGCAAAGTTATAAAGCCCAAAGTCTGCGGTTATAAAGCCCCAAAACACTGCTCCTCAAGCCCCTCAAGCTCCTCAAGGTCCTCAAGCTCCTGGAACACCTCGTCAGTAGTTCGGCCCATACTACGTGGTTATCATGATCACCATATAGCAACTAGTCCCCCGACATTTCCCTACATGCACTGGAAGCGGTTGACCAATCACAACAGAGTGGACCAGCTTTGAAGGAAGGGGTACCTTAAAGAGACAGGAGCTAAAACCAAGTGTTTGAGACAGAGGCTGAAAAGAGGAGCAGCAGCATCGGACATTCCGAACATGTAAAACTGACTTTCAAGATTATGAACCTGAATATGAGCAGAATATTTCTCTTTTACACGATTGAGGAGTGAGAAATTGGAGTAACAATAGAATGGATTCATCAGTTCCAATCAGGATTCGGTCGGAGTCTTACTGGAGTTTGCATGTTCTCCCCGTGTCTGTGTGGGTTTGATCGTGTGAATGGATGTTTGTCTCTGTATGTCAGCCTGTGATTCACCGGGGACATGTCCAGGGCGTTCCCCGTCTCTCACCCAATATGAGCTATTGGGTTCAGTTCCCTCTGTAATCCCTCAGGAGGATGAGCAGTATAGATGATGGATGTATGGATGAAGATGTAAGAGCCAGATATGAAAGGTCTTTTTGCTCACCCATCTCGGGATGGGGCCTTCCCTCAACAGGAACGCTGACTGTCCGCCGCAGCAGCTTGTTCCTGTGAGACTCTGAGCGCCTCTCGCGCATCAGCAAAGGGTGAACCTGCACAGAGAGATCACAAGGTCAGTACACACACATACACACACACTCAATGCATCCTGACGTTCTGAACAGAAACACTCTTTAACTTTTAATCTTTCTTGCATTTGAGGAAGTACTTTGTTCACATTGTGCTTAATGGAAAAAAATTTTTTATCAGCATTTAATGGCCAAAATTATTATTTTTTAATACTAATACAATAATTCAACGGTTCATTAAAACCGTGACAAACAAGAAAGCAGCTCCCACAGCAACCGAGGGTTTAAAGTGTTCCCAGATTTTTGTGGGGACACATGAACCCACCGCAGTTTCATCATATTCCTTAAAGTCTGAACATCATTCAACAAAAGTAACAACATGTTTTTTCTGGGAAGAGGCGAAGCAAGAATTCAAAAACTTTATCATCCTCCACAGCCGTTGTTGCATTTTTTTGATGTAGAAGAACTGAAAGAAAAGAGAAAAGGAAAAAAAAATCTATATATATATAAAAAAATTCCACCACATTTGGCCCCTCAGTCCCTGAATTCATAAAAATGAGGCATGAGGGAAAATAAAGAGGAGAATGTGCTGCTCCAATCAGACAACATGGTCCAGAAGTACAGACCCATCCATCGTTAGTATTTGTTTGCATCACACTTCAGTGCTCCAAGAAATACATGAGTTTTATTCAAAATCATCTGTGACATATACAAAATCATCGTGTGAACAGTTTCCAATGAATCCTAAAAAATCTACAGCTCCACGAAGATTTGTTTCTAAAACAAAGGATCGAACGATGATGAGCACACGGAGGATTAAGAAGTCCTTTGGGAGAGAATTGCGGGAGCTGTCCTCTACACATCGTCACTGACACAACCTCGAGAAGAAACGAGCGCTGCCTTGTTTGTTGTCCTGTTGCCGCACTTTGCTTTTTCACGTGTCCTATCGAGACTGTAGCGTCGGACAGAAACGCAAAAGACCTGGTGTGTGAACACGGCGAGCCGGTGTCACTGGTGGAACTAAATACAGAGAGCCCTGCAGGACAGTGCAGCCCCGGGGGGGAGTGAAGGACACTGGCAGGTCACACTGAGCCACATGTACCACGAGGCAGCCGAGTGCCACTCACCCTGAAGGAGCTCTGTTAAGATGAAAGACATGCGTGTGTGTGTTTTGTTGTGTGCGGGTGATGCCTTCATCTGTGAGCGTGCACAAAAACTACTATTTGGTTCGTGCGCATGTGTGTCAAAGCGAGGGCGCATAAAAATTTCATGCAGACACTGCTCCACTTCAAGCTACTAATATTCTCCACTACAACGCTACAGCTGTACAGCATCTGGCACATGAACGCACACACACACACACACACACACATCTCCATAATCTAGTTAGACCAGCAGAAGATGCTTCACATCACAGCATCATGTTTCACCGAGTCTCTTCATCCAAGTTAATCAGGGAGAAGCATCGTAAATATGAACCATACATGATTAGTCTCTACTCGGCTGCCCGTGCAACCAAAGTGCACTAAACTACATTGGAACGCGCGGGGCCGTCCTGGGAACGACGTATCGCTCGTTGTGATGAAGTTACAGAACAACGCGGTTGATGAAAAATATATTAAGCAGCATTCATTCTTTATGAGTCCACTGTGAGAATGCACAGAGCACATACAGTGTGTGCATGAGCCCTCCTCTTGCTGGAGTAATTACTGAAGCAGGAGTTGTCGCATCCAATCAAGTTTTTCCTCACTCTGTTACTGGTGGTCCAACATGGGAGCGAAATACCACCATGATTTTTTTTGTTTTGTTATAGCAGTAAAATGTAGCTTCAAACATTTATCTCTGACTCCGCTGTTTCAGTTCCAGCGCCCCCAACAGGTCAAACTGTCCACTGCATCAACACTTGAGCTCATAAAGGGATAAAAAACTGGTGAATTCAATCCTCTATCTGGATTTTTATGCAGCAAATTCTGCACCAAAAATATGCTGGATTTGTTAAATCAAGATCCAGGATCCATTTTCTTTGCCACACAAGGCTGCAGACACATGTGTGAAGTTACTGGACAGATTTTTAGCTCCATGATGGTTGAACGAGCGAGCCAACAGCTGCCCTCACCTAAAAAAAAGATTAATGACGGTGCTACAATATGGAAACACTGTGCTGTGATAAATGACAATAATCTGTTAATCTCTCGGCACTTAAAACCTTTAAACTGCTCCGGGAAAATCTATGAACACGCCATAACTTTTTGTGTTTTAAATAACCCAACAGGAAGCTCTGTATTGGCTAATCCAACAAATTAAAGATTTACTACGAGATAGTAAACTACGTTGTTAGAGAATACAATACTGCCATTGAGAAAATTAAGACAACATAAACAGACATTTCTTCTGTTCTCCTCAGTGCATCCTGCCTCCATTTAAATCCAAGTCTCGTCAGTGCACAGAGCTCTTCTTTTATTCCCTGTTTAACTAATGGAATATACTTCAGTGCCGACGAGTAACCGTAAAACCTGAATCAACCTCACATTCAACCAACTCGTCGCTGATTGGCAACGCAAGGGAAGTCACTGCCGTGCACCGTAGTTTTATTGCGACGACGTTGCTTTATCTCTAAACGTGCATAATGAGCAAAGCGGTTTCATAACGTCTGCCTGAGCGCCGCTGCAGCTCAGGCTCCATGAAAAGGAGGAATTGTGAGGAGAGTGCGGAGGAGTATCAAACTCAGGTAATATCTCTGAATGGTTCCGTCGTTACTGAAGGGGCAGTGGTGATTTTCTGAAGGGTTAAAGTGATGCTTCTCTCCACCCACATTTCCAGCTGTTGCCATGGAATCCAGAGGAGACAAACGGGCTGCGTTCACTTTTATCTACAGGGTGTGAGTTGTGAGACGCTTCAAAAAACCAGAGGCATATGTTTGTGTCTTTTTAATACAGATCGACACCTTGGACTCGTTCTACGTGTATTTCGCAGCGGGAGCGAGCTGAGCTGAAACTGCATTAAAAAAAGTTAAACTCTCGACTTCTCATCTTGATGTCAACACCTCAATTACAGGCAACTAAATATGGTAATTTTCCTCAATCACATCTACTTGAACAAGAACAAACCCACTCACTCTCCCCTGCCGCTGCCCTGCCCAGTGCAATTCATCACTGACAACTTGACTCATGGAAAAAAAAAAAAAAAGACCCAGAATACCTTTCTTCACCACCCTCGCACATCAGCTCGCAAAAAAGCTTCCCACCACTGCTTCCAGTGGGGGGGGGGACACCTGGAGGCTGTCTTTACTCTGCGTGCGGCAGGATTTGATTGGTCAGATGTTGCGGGGGTCTGCAGCTTGAGATGTGACATAACAGCGGCTCCGCGGTCGCCATGAGTGGGCACAGGAGAAAAGAAAAGAAGCTGTTTGATTTAGTGCGCGATAGAACCCGACCCGTTTGGATTGTCTGCCGTGACAGATATTTAGGAGTAAAGTATTTCTGCCAGATATTTTTACTTTAATTTACACTGAATCAAGAAAATGCATATACAACCAAATATGTATATATTTATAATTGTAAAGTTAAGTGCTCATTAATATATTTTCAATAGGTAAATTATAATGCAGATACCAATATATCTGTGTGTCAGCCACATATTGGCTGATATGTGTTGGCCAGTCGATAAATGATTTCAGATTTAAATTAAATTAACTGTTATTGTAACTGACACTGCAGTGCAGTAAAGATAGCTTTGCGATTACACATAATGTTAAACAGACCCGAGACTAAGTGTTTAAACATGGATCCAAACTGGAACGGGCCGAGCTGCGGCAGATCAGGGAACCAAATATAATCATGGCCAATACTTAGATAGAAAGATATGATGTCTGACGATGTGTCTCACATGTTTAAAGTAAAGTTTCTTGTTGATGTGCTGGAGTTTGTCAAACTTCATTCTGTCAGATGTCTAACTGGAGTACATGAGTGGGTCCAACCAAAAAACACTTGACGATGAAACGGGACCATGAATAAATGAAACACAGGTGTGTGAATATCTGCCGTCAGACATTTTGGTTCCCGGGACATGTCTGGACACTGTTGAATTAATCATCGCTACATTTTGGATCAGAAAATCAAGAATGAACACGCTAATCAGATTTCAGACAAGACGGACAGACACCAGTCCTGGCCTGGAGAAAGACGGCCGTTTAGGGACGGTGGTGTTGGCGGCAGGACGGGAGAAGGAGGGACGGCAGTGCCATCGATCCGAGGAGGAAGGAGGAGGCAGTTTTTGTTCGGCTTGGCAGGCTGTGTTGAGCGATGCTGCAGGCTGGCGAGCCCATATGTCACTACTGCTTCCTCAGGCCCAGCGGTGAGGAGAGGGGGAATATGGCGGGACGCTGAGTATCAGTGTGTGTGTGTGTGTGTGTGTGTGTTTCAGAAGAGATTGAAAGAGACAAAGAGAAAGTAGAAAGTACATATCTGTGTAAGGAAGAAGGAAAAAAGTGAGAGAAGTGAGGTAGGGTGTGTATTTCTGAACCGAACATACTACTGGGTGTCTAACACAGACTCTCACACTCACACTCACACACACACACACACACACACACACACACTCACACACACACTATCGGAGGCTGAAGTTGCCAAAAGCACAATTTGTCCTTCAGACCAGTGACGTCCTCTCAGAGACAGATGTTCGTCCTCCTCCTCCTGAGCCTCAGTGTTGTTCATACAACACGATGATCTTACCCACAGACCTGTACACCTACACTAGCAGGAACACAGTAAACACACCGTGCACTGATGCTTATATTTTATTATCTTATATTTTTCCTCTGTTATATAATATCCTATTATTATGTCACTCAGTATCATTCCTATCTCTGACAAGGCCCAACAGTCCCTTTTATGAAACCACATTTAAATTCAAAATTTGGATCTGCACCAAATTTGCCTATTTTTTCAAGATCCACGAATAACAAACTGAAAAATAAAGACAAATGTTGAAAAACGCTCTCACGTTAAAGGAATAATTATCAAAATTCAGTAATTCCCTCCCTGATCCATTCCATAATCCGTCCACCAAGTTTTGTGGTAATCCTGCTAATTAAAAGACCAACAGACGAATGGACGAACACAGACCACAACAACTTCCTCATACAGATGATAACGACAATAATAACATGAAAACAGAAAGTTCTGTGAATCCTGCACAGGAAAAAAAAAAATTTATGTGAGAAGTCGATAGAAACAAACATTTCCACAGTGACGTGCTGGTATTTGGCTTTTTTACTGCTCTGCTAACTCAATAACTCCATCAAATAAACACTTTCATTATAAATGATAGCTTCGTTGGTTTCCTCTGTATCTTTGTAGATGCTAAGTGCATAAGAAAAGTTCAAAACACTCTTTAAGTGTTCACATCCCACTGAGAGAGATGTGGCCAAGTGCAGTTCTTCTTAATAAAAATGATAAATGGCGGCAGATTTCTTTTAAGGTCATTGAGATCTGGCAGTTGCTCCTTGTAAGTTGGCAGGAGACAAATTAGACCTCGTCTTCGGCTTTTCTCTCGGAGCCTCCGAGGTACTGAAGGGGAGGAAAAAACTGTACACGATCCACAGGGATAGACGAATTAATCAAAACGCTGAGATAAAAGCCATTTAAACCCTTGTATGTACAAGATGACCTTTTGAGAAATGTTTTATTTTTGAGTGAGGAGCGGTTTTTATTCAAATTGCAGGTAATAGTGAGTGAAATACCAAAGACTTTGTTAACGTGGCCTCACGAGCTCAGGTCAGCCATCGCTCTGAAACAATCAACCTTTCCCTTCAGCGACTCACTGCCCACCTACATTTATTACATAATTAATCCCTCTACCTCCCACCTGGATGTGTTCTCCAGGGTCATATGTTGTGTTGTCGCCCCCCCCCCCCCCCATCCTTTCCTCCGAGTCACTTCATGCACTGTGACAACAGCAGCTGCAGGATGAAGCAGCGGGGGGGCTCTGGCTTGTTTGCAGAGCAGCTTGTGCAATCATTTTTTGCAGTGCAAGTAGCAGAGCTGTAAATGGGCCTGGAGACACTGTGCAGAAGGAGAACGACACTTTAACCAAAATGAGAAATGCACTGGTATCTTTTCATTTTAAATTACTGCAGTGTCACGTCTGCAGCTCGTGTGCTGCGGAGTTGATATTTCCCAGCTGACACTTGTGGGCTAGACAATTCTTGTTACACACCCCCCCCCCCATCGGTATTTTCTTGCATAATACTGGCACAGTTGGGGGACAGCAGCCTGGACACATGACTCAGGGGACAGGGCACTGGTGCGTGGCAGTGGTATATGAAACTCTGTCACCTCAGATTAATTTGAGCTGAGAAGAAGAGGAAGAGGAGGAGGAGGTGAAGAGGATGTCAGGCAGCTGTCACTGCCGGTCCTCTTCCTCCCCCTGCAGGACAGAAGGAGGCAGAGCAGGCTGCAGATAGACCCAGTGATGGAAATGTGATTGAACACAGATGAGGATTTCACAGATGATTAAAAACAGTCAGGAAAATATCTGCAGAGGAAACTAATTAACGGTACGACCCCTCAGGTTTTGTGAGTACTGCCCCTCCGCTGACTATCACCGTCACAGATGTATCCGGGGGAAAAACATAACCCGAGGTAATAAACATATCGTGGGAAACTAAAATCCTACGCAATTAAAACGAGGCAACAGTGTTGACGTGTCAGTGAGAGTCTATCCGTTGCCCTGCGTCAACAGGAAACATTTCAATGAGTCCAACGCGTCACAGTCCAGAGACACAAAGGCGCAGGATCAACACAAATTTCCATGGTGACACATTTTACACACAACAGCCTCGTTGCCCAAAGTGACACAACACACACAAAGTCACTTCTGCAGGAGGACGCCGCCCCCCCTGCATCCTTCTGATGGCTGTCACTCATGAAACAACAATGAAACAAACGAGCAAACAAACAGAGCGGCAAGTGAATGGAGCTGTGAGGAGCACAGAGACAGGTGGCCTGCAGGAGAGCCAGAGACGCCTGCCAGTCCCCCCTGAGCGAGGGGGAGAGGGAGGGAGGAGAGGGCTGAGTGGATGAGGTGGAAGGGTGAGGGCAGAAAAGGGTGAGAAACTGTGAAGGAGGGCAAGAAAGATGGAGAGGGATGAAGGGAAAAGGAAACGTGTGGCAGTGGAGACAGACGCTGGGAGGGAGGGAGTGATGGTAGGAGGGGAGAGAAAAAGAAATGGAACAGATGCACTGAATAAAGAGAGGTGAGAGATGGAGGGAACAGAGGGAGAGAGGAGGAGGAGGAGGTAAAAGTGGACGATTTATGCAGAAAATAAAAAACGAGGAATGAGGCAGAGGCACACAGGAGAGCAGGGACTGAGGTCGGACACCGGGCATGACACGGTCCTGCACGAACCCCTGGAAACGTGCAGAGTCTCTGCTTTATTTTGACAAGACATCTAAAACGAATGGAAATAAATGTGTAAAAAAGAGTGTGTGTGTGTGTGTGTGTGTGTGTGAGAAAGAGAAAAGAAGAGCGACACACCCGCTCTGCATGAGGTGAGTGACAGGCATGAATATTTAACGCTGTCGCCGAGGTGACGGATACCAGCACTTCAGTCCTGCCTGCGATCCGTTCGCAGCTGCCTCCTTATTGGCACAATTAGACAGGGATCGGTCTGTGATTAATTGAACCGGGCTCTCCGTTCAATCCCTCCAGAGCCGTACAGGTCTCTTATCATGATCACAGCGCACTTTATTCCTCTGAGTGACGACAAGTTGAAATACTATTGGCAGCCGTGCACACACACACTACAGTGAAGTCGCCACCCGCACGCTTTGACGGGCCACATAAGGATTAATTGGTTTACTGACGTGCCAGCGTCCCAGAACATAAAAATTTGGCTCAGTGCAGGACTGGAATCTTGTGCCATAACACTAATACATACTGTTGAATACACAGAGTACATAAATTACTACAAACAGAGAGTCACACGGCAGCAAAACACAAGAAAAAGGTAAAAGCTGCTTCACTGTTTCTCCGTAAACTGCTGATGTTTCAAAGTTTTGGGCTTTAGACCAAATTCAAAATCTTATCAGCTTCTGTGGTCTTTTACTAAAAGGGCCTGCAGAGTGTGTGTGTGTGTGTGTGTGTGTGTG